AAAAAAAAAAAAACAAAACAAAAAAACAAAACAAGGGAAGAGAAAAAACAGTGGCCCAAATTGTCATTTATCAAAATCCACTAAGATTTCTAAAACAGAGGAGCCTCAGTGAGGGAGGTGGCCTGGCTCTTTAGGTAGTTGTGTGACTGGCAATGTATTTATTCGAGATAGCCGTCTTTGAAGTAAATGCCTTTTTGAAGTGGATGCTTTGACAATCAAAGCTTAAGGCAGACCCTTACATTACAAAAATAAATACATTAAGAAAACCCAACTGTCAGAACTTTTTTGACAAAAAGGAACAGTCCAGGAGGTGAAACTCGGGAAAAGTACATTGCCAAGGAAAGTGAGAATATCACCCGGGAGGACTGGTCAGCAGTGTTAAATGCTAGTGCAAGGTCAGGCAGAGGAGTTGTTCAAAAAGAAATGCTACGGAGAAGTTGGATAGAATAAAAACTAAGAGGAAGCCTTCCCCCCTATATTTTGAGAGAAGGAGAGAGAGAGAGAGAGAGAGAGCGAGCGAGCTGGGGAGAGGGGCAGAGGGAAATAGAGAATCTTAAGCAGGCTTCATGCTCAGCGACACAGGGCTCAATCCTACAACCCTGGGATCATGATCTGAGCCAAAATCAAGAGTCAGATGTTGAACCAACTGAGCTGCCCGGGTGCCCCAAGAGGTGACTTTTAGAATTGGCAATTAGGAGGCCGTTGATGAGTTCAAGAGAGCTAGTTTTGTGGTGTGATGGGCCAGAAACCTTTTGCAGTTGGGTAAGAAGTAAATGGAAATGGAGAATTGTAATTAGCTAAGGTCACTGATGTGAAGTTGGTGTAAAGAGAAGAGGACAATGGCAGAACAATGAGGGGGAAGGCAGGCTTAAGGAAAACATTTTGAAGAGTGGAGGAAGCGTAGACAGTGCAGGGGGAGAAACAAACAAATTCACACGATAATGACATCATGGTGGTAGAGCCTGGAGGGTATAGGAGCTCATGGGGTGGAGAACAGGGGGTTTAGAACATCTGCTCTCAGGAATATGAACAAGGAGACATTAAGGATAACCAGAGGTTATCAGAGGTTACCAGAAAAATTGGCCAGTGACGTCTATGCAAGGTCAGGCACACTGATTATGGCATAAAATAAGGGGTGTAAAATCTAAAGTGTTAGAGAGGTCTGAGCTGGATAGGGAAGGAGACAGAACCAGGAGAAGGCAATAGCCTGGACGCATTGCACATGTCATGTGGACAAAGAAAGAGTTCAGTGTGGGTTGCAGGAACGGAAGTACTAAAATTCTCCTAGCAAATATAATTTCAGCATTTAACATGGTGGTAAAACAGATCATCTTCAGGTATGAATTACTGATGTCAGATCCTTTCCTGTTTTTTAGAGATAGAGGGTGGGGAGGGCGGAGGGACCTGAAACTTAGAAGGGAGGGTTCGTCACCAAGTAAGGCTGAGAACAAGGAAGGGAATATTGGAAACAAAGTCGAAGACTGCAGATTTCACAGTTTTGCCAATGTTTGGCACTGTTGACTGCAATTTAGGAAAGATAATTAGAAATAATCTAAGAGTTATTAAGACTCTGCCTCCTTTCTTCCTTTTCTCTCTGCCTCAATCTTTCTCCTTTCCTCTTTACCCATGGCTGATTTTGCTATAAATGACCCTTATTTTCAGAAACTTTATTAATTGAAATATTATGCTTCTGAAGATCTATAGTGATTTAATTATATTGATAGAAAAGAAGTTTACATAATAGAACCAGAAAATTTTGCCAATATTTATTTTTATTTGTCTCTGATATATGTCAGCACCTTAGTTTTCTTAGCTGTGAACTTGTTGTTAAACATAGTCTTTAATTTTAAACAGCTGTATGAGAGAAGTTGTTCCACAAATTTTTGCTGTTATTGTGTAGATATTAAGAACCTATCAATCTAAAAATGCATGTTTACATGATCATTTTATGTTTATGCCTGTGACAGCATTTACTTCCTTTTGCAGATTACATTCAGATATTTTGGCAGAGACTTCTTCAATCCTCTTATACCTTTTCCTTAGAAATATTTTTGTAACAAGTGACATTAAAATTAAAGAAGAAAATCTTTTCTGTGATAATATTAAAGGCAATGAGATTTTCCCCTCTCAACAAGTAAGTGAATTAAAGGGACTGAAAATGTGCCAATTTCCCTTTATTTGTTTCTTGATGTTTCAAGTTCTTTCGGGATTGTGTATCCTGATTTGTGGATAGACTGAGAGATCATTTTATGATTGTGCAGGTTTATTTGATATTCCAAATAGGTTTCATAGGCCCGAGTTCATATATATTTTTCTTCTTTTCAATTGATCTTTTTTGTCTCTGTAAAAGTAGTATAAATTTCAAATATTCAAAAAATGATAAGGTATAAAGTGAAATCTATTGTAATTTTATTGCTCCTAAAAATACTATGAGTTTGTTTTCTCTGTTTTTTTTTTATGATATCTGATTTATAAAAATATGCATAGGCAAATTATTATTTAAAAAATTTTTTTTACAAAAATGCCTTCACAATCTACTTGCTATTCCATAATTTGCCTACTTAACATTTTTAATAATTTATCTTATACATGTTTTCATGCAGGTACATATCAATTTACCAAATTCTTATTTTTTAAGTTCTTTTTTTAAAAAAATTTTTTTAATGTTTATTTATTTTTGAGAGAGAGAGAGAGACAGAGTGCGAGCTGGAGAGGGGCAGAGAGAGAGGGAGACAGAGAATCCAAATCAGGCTCCAGGCTCTGAGCTGTCAGCACAGAGCCTGATGTGGGGCTCGAACCCACAAACTGTGAGATCACAACCTGAGCCGAAGTCAGATGCTTAACCGACTGAGCCAGCCAGGCACCCCTTATTTTTTTAAGTTCTTAGTTTATTAATCCTCTCATGAAAAATCTACACAATCACCACAGATAAAGTCACTGTGGAACCTTTATTCCTTCTTTTGTCCAATCTCTGGCTCACTTGTTGCTTGCACCAACCTTGGCTTCTGCAGTTCCCCTGACTTCTTCATTCTGTTCTTATGGTCCTTTCCCTGTTTTCTGGAGGTCTGTTTCTTCTCATACAGGCCATGTCTTGCAAGTCTATGCCTGGGTTCATTTTTCTGTGCATCATCCAAGGAACAATAAATTATGCTTAAGCCAGTTGTCTCGCCACCACCAAAATGGGTTCTGAATCCAAATACAAAGATAGCATCTGGTGTGATCTTGTCCACTTTGGCTTGTTTTTCCTGAATTTCTATCTCAGGTACTGTTGCCTTTCTGGGGTGAAGAACATCAATGACCATTTGTTTCCATACCAAATTCTTTTTAATTTTAATATTGCATTCCTGTACAGAGGCAGGAATGTAACCCATATTCTACTGATGGATTCTCAGGGTGGTTATCAGCATTGCTGTGTGTACCTTTGCAATCTTATAATGCTCTTGCTTTTAATAACAATCCTTTGCTATTTTTTCCATTCTAGATTGAGTGTCACTCTTTGTCCCTCTCCTTCTTTCCTTCTTTACTCACTTTAGCTACATAGAGGCTTTTCCCGTGTGTTTGTTTTTCACAGTTGCTTTTTCCTACCCTTGCATTTATTCATTAGTTAATCAACCAATAAATTGTTACATGAGACCATGCCAGTGTCTATGGATCCAAAAATGAAAAAAACATGACGCTTTTGTCCAGGGAAAGTTCATGGTCTTACAGAGCCCAAGCACTCATAACCATCATCCTGTTCTTTATGTGTTGCCCTTAGTTTCTTCTTTCAGCATCCAGTCTGAAAATGAAGTCAGGCTTTAAGTACTTCAATCAATGAATTCCAGAATGCTAGACTACCATTCTAGTAATAACTTACTCTATGGAAATTTCTCAATGCCAGTTTTCTGTGTATGTTATTTTATAGGTATATATAGAAAAATAATGAAATCTTCCTCCAGGAAAGGGAAAGGAAAAGTAAGATAAGATTCTTATTATTTTTAAGTAACATTTAATCACAAAAGCCTAACTTTCTATTTCACTACCATTTTTATTTAAGTAGCACAAGTATAATAGAAGATTAGTTTGGTCTATTGAAGATTCATCATTTTTTTTTTCACAAATCCAGAAAGAAAATGGGACTGTTAATCAAGTGAGGGACAATATTACAGAGATATAATATTTTAATTATTATTTGTTATAATTTATGTTTTGAAAAAGCTAGATTTTTTCTAACATTAAAATATAGCCACGTTTTAATTTTACCAATTAAAAAAGATTAGTTCCTTTTTCATTACTAGTGGTATTTCTATTGTTTTACAAAATATTCTAAAGTTTAATTCTAAGATGGTATTATCCATATGTAGCATTATTGGGAAATTAGAGTTGTTCTTGAGTTTAGATTTTCTTCATACCAGGATTTCAACATACCAATGTGTTGTTAAACCGGCAGGATCACATTTCCTACCCTTCTTCTCCTTAGAGGCACATTAATTAAGCACCTGATGTTCCTTTCCGGTAACAATACCTGTTTCTTTACAGATTGCTAGATTAATTGAATGTGAGAGAATATTAGTGGCATTGGACCTTAGCAACTACCTAAATGATTCCAGTTATGCCCTTCAAGCTGTGACTCAGTGTTATGGCCTCCTTGCTCCTATAATCTACCACAATGTTGTTTTGGTACCTGTTGTACAGGTAAGCATATTCACCCCACCCCCTTAAAAATAAGGATATTTTTTACAAAGGCAATTCAACAATGCATTTTGGAAAATGAAAAGCAATGTATCTCTCATAACGTACAAATAGGTCAAAGACAAGTGTTATGAAATTTCATGAGTTAACTGAAAAACATTTTAATAATTTAAATTATATCTGGGCGAACAGACATACATAAAACATAAAGGCTCAAATGTGTTTCTCTGAAAACATTCAGCCCCATTGCTGTCCATGTTTAAATACTGGCAATCTGTTTTTCTAGATTTTTTAAGTCATTTCAATTTGTATGCTTTTGTAATGTTAGAAGCATCAATGCTTATTCTTAACATATTTTTTTTTTAAATTTTTTTTTCAACGTTTTTATTTATTTTTGGGACAGAGAGAGACAGAGCATGAACGGGGGAGGGGCAGAGAGAGAGGGAGACACAGAATCGGAAACAGGCTCCAGGCTCTGAGCCATCAGCCCAGAGCCCGACGCGGGGCTCGAACTCACGGACCGCGAGATCGTGACCTGGCTGAAGTCGGACGCTTAACCGACTGCGCCACCCAGGCGCCCCCTTAACATATTTTTAAAGCCATCATCTGGGGAAAAAATTGGCGAATGACCCAAGAAAAATTACTTGGGTGTCTTGGTGATGGAGAAACTGGAATTTATGGAAAAAGAATAAGGGAGAGCTGGGTGAAGGGGTTATATTAGTTGTTTATTCTTCCTAACAAATCACCATAGTGAATCTATCTCATAGTTTCTGTGGGACAGGAGGCTGGAAATGGGTTGGTTGGGTCTTCTGCTTAGGGTCTCTTCAGGCTGAAATCAAGGTGTTGGCCAGAGCTGTGATCTCACCTGAGGCTCTGGAGCCTTTTCCAAGCTCACTGGTTGTTGAGAGAATTTATTTCCTTGTGCTTGTATGATAGGAGGTCCTTAGCTCCTGAAAGCTCACCGCCAGTTCCCTGCCACATGGTCTTCTCCATAACGTGGCAGTCTGCTTCCTCAAGACCATCAGGAGAGTTCCTATAATATTCATGAAGTCTTATATAACATAATGTAGTCATGAGAGAGAAGATCTTATCACATTCACAGGTCCTACCCACATGTAAGGAGAAAGGATTATAACAGAGCTTGTACACCAGGGAGTCCACATCTTGTGGACTGTTTTAGAATCCTGCCTACCACAGGGAAGTAATGAGAGAGGTAAGGTTTTACTGCAGATACTTATAGAAAGTTTTCATCATCATCATTGTTGTCATCATTATCATCATCATCGTCAACTCAGATTTTGAGAACCAAGAAGATGTGAGTGATCTCATGCAAAGCATAAAAATTTTTAATTCACCATGGAGAAAACTAACCAGAGGACTTAAGTAATTTAACAAATATTTGCCTTGGAATGGCTATACTGGAACATAGACATGCTCCTTCTCCCGTATTCCCTTAAGCTCAGCTGCTTGGGAGATCTGCTTCTAAAATCCAAAATCTCAACTCATAGTTGGCAGCCTTCCATGTCATTTGTAGATTGAATGTAAAGCAGTATTCTCAAGTGTGGAATATGCTTTCTTCCGAACCCAAAGGCATTGTCCTTTCTTCTTAGAGGTGAGAGATGCCAGATGTCAGACCTACTCTGGGGTAGGGAGTTTGTTTCAGCACACCCGAGATATTTCATTAATGTGGCAGTTTCCTGAATCTTCATCAGGTTTATTCCTACCCTCTGGAAGGCATGTATCCTATCAGGGTCTTTAATGTACTTGCCTTTTCTTGCTTTTTATGTCCAATTAACATTTTTGTAAGTGTTATTGATGTACTGGTCCCATGTTTTGTTTTGAGAAATGTCCAGAGTGTTCAGGTCCTTTCATAAAATATGTCAGAGGGTGGGAGAGTTACCATTGCCCTGGGGCAAGATGCTAAATATATACTTTTGTCTTCCCAGCATGAATGGGAACTTTTTCTGGTACTTCTTCCTCACAGGATAGAAAAGAAAATATTAGCCATGACAATGCATGGCTTTTACTGTCCTCTAGCAAGGATGCCACATTGGGGCCAGCAGCTGCAACTGGTGCTCAGTTGGTTGAGTTCAAGATAATCCACTGTCATCCTGTAGCATCCCACTGGTTTAGAATGCCTTTAGCTATAGCTCAGAGAATAGGTTATAGCTCTGAGGAAAAGCCTTAAGAAAGGAATTTCTAGGGGCGCCTGGGTGGCTCAGTCGGTTGGGCATCCGACTTCGGCTCAGGTCATGATCTCACAGTTCGTGGGTTTGAGCCCTGTGTCAGGCTCTGTGCTGACAGCTCGGAGCTTGGAGCCTGCTTCGGATTCTGTGGCTCCCTCTCTCTCTGCCCCTCCCCTGCTTATGCTGTGTCTCTTTCTCTCTCTCTCAAAAATAAATAAACATTAAAAAAATAGTTTAAAAAAATAAATAAATGTAAAAAAAATTTTTTTTTAAAAGAAAGGAGTTTCTAATTAAATTGTATTGTTTGGAATAGAAAAGTGAGTGAAACAGAGAGGAGATTCTAGAAATGGGCCTCAATATGTATGAGAATATAATATATGGCCAAATTGGCATTCAAATTCAGTCAGAAGAGAATGGATATTTTTGGTCAATGGTAGTGAACCATTTATTCATCTGATATGGATGGATATTCATCTGAAAGAAAATAGACTTTGACACCTATATTGGACCATATATAAAAAGTTCAGATGTACTAAAGATTTAAATGTAAAATAAACACAAAACTCTTAGAAATAACAAGAAAGATAAGAAATATTGACTATATTTGTGGCAGCCTATGTGTGACAAAAGGGATCATGACAAAGATAGTAGAAAATTTATAGATTTGGAAAAAGTGTCCAACCCTGACAAGGATAAGTATATATAACAAAACATCTTACAAATTGACAATCACTTAGTAAAAGAATGGCCACAGGGCATGAATAGGCAGTTTACAGGAGAGCAAATCCAAGTGGCCAAGAAACATGAAAAGATGCTCAAACTCTGAATATCCCAAGAAATGTACATTAAATGACTAACGTAATACTGTTGACAGAATTGCAAAGATCTGTAACTCCTCTTCCTGGTCAGGGTGTGGGGCAAAGGCACTCTCATTCATTGATGGGGGACATGTGAATTGTTGTAGGCTTTGGAGTTTGGTAAAACAATCTTAATTGTCATTAAACTAAATCTAATTTTAATTAAAATTAAAAATAAATATACTTGACACAGCAACCCCTCTATTAGTAATTTATCCCATAGAATAAAATCCCCAGTTAGTAAGATGCTGCTCCTGGTTCTGGTCCTTGGTTCCCAGATCCATGTGTTCCACCTACTGGGGACATAGTGCCATGTAACTGTCATTGATTTAGAGTGTATACTTTGCCCTAGAAGATGGTGCTTCATCCTCACTAGGTACCATCAAAGCTGGTATCTCAGTTGCCACTCATATTGGCAACTGAGCATTTACAAGGGTGTTTATTATGGCCATTTGGGTGATAGCAAAAAAGCTGGAGACAGGGGCACATGGGTGGCTCAGTCAGTTAAGCGTCCGACTTTGGCTTGAGTCATGATCTCACAGTTCGTAGGTTCGAACTCCACATCAGACTCTGTGCTGAGAGCTCAGAGCCTGGAGCCTGCTTTGGATTCTGTCTCTCTTTCTCTCTCTGCCCCTCCTCCACTCACACTGTCTCTCTCTGTCTCTCAAAAATAAATTAACATTGAAAAAATTAAAAAAAAGAGCTGAAGACAAAGAGGCAGTGTAGTAGTAGGAGGATGGCCAGTATACCAGATTGTAAAACATCAGCTGTGAAAGAGTGCAACATGGAGATTCTGGAAATGGCTGAATAAATGATGGTTGTTCCACACTAAATCATATTGTGCAGCCATTGGCAATAATGAATTTGAGCTATACCTGTAGACTTGGAGTAATTTTTCATAAGACATGGATGAAGGAGAAATGCACAGTTCAAACAAGTGTTTATACATCCCATTTTGTAACATAACATTAACCCTCCCTCTATGTATGTTTATGTATTTAGATGTATGTATATGATTATAAGATCCTGGAGAAAACTACAAAATTACTGGGTTGCTAACATGATTTGGAGATATGGTATAGTAGGGTGGAGGCAGGTGATGATGGGGAGGAATTAAAGAAGCATTAAAAAATACTCATAGGTGTATAGTAACAATACTAATAATATTGTTAGAATGGTGGCTTGAAGCAATTAGTGTGCTCACAAAAGACCAATATCCATATGTTAATTTGTCCTTTGATAATCTGGATGACTAATAGATTGATGCAATCTCAGCTCTACTTTTCTGACAGTAATGTTGCTCAGAACAGGGCAACAGTATTGAAAACTAAACTTAGGGGCGCCTGGGTGGCGCAGTCGGTTAAGCGTCCGACTTCAGCCAGGTCACGATCTCGCGGTCCGTGAGTTTGAGCCCCGCGTCAGGCTCTGGGCTGATGGCTCAGAGCCTGGAGCCTGTTTCCGATTCTGTGTCTCCCTCTCTCTCTGCCCCTCGCCCGTTCATGCTCTGTCTCTCTCTGTCCCAAAAATAAATAAACGTTGAAAAAAAAAATTTAAAAAAATAAAAAATAAAAAATAAAAAAAAAAAAAAGAAAACTAAACTTAATTGTCTAGCTCTTGACCAAATTCAGGATCATATAATATGAAGTAAGGAGACTAGGAAGTAAATGCTGATATGGATAGATTTCTTGGGATATGAATGCTTGGTTTTAATTTTAAAAGAAACTATTATTTCAAGTACCTGGTATCACTTTATATTTAATATGGTACCTCCTTCTCTATATGTTTTTTTAAGGTCCTCCTAAGTGTGGGTGTGTTTTTAGGGTCTTGTATATGTAATATTCTGCCGATAATTTTTATGGCACTTGTCAAAATGTGCTTTGGTTTGTAATTGCTGAATACTTATTTTATCCTCTATACTAGTTTTCAAGTTACTTTAGATGAGAGACTCATCTGAAATTGAATATATTAATTTTATCTCAGAGTACATTCTTTTATACATGAGAAACAATTCATTGATAATTATTGAAAATAATAAGACTTGATGGCTTAAAACTTGCGTGATTTGAATAGGACATTTTGTAATGGGTGAGGCTATTTGTCAACAGAAACTCTTCTGCTTCTATTTTTTAGATCTTGATAAAGTGTGTGGTGGTTTTGCAGGGACTACCAAACATTGTCCACTCAAAGAAACATTTTGCAAGTTTTGAAAGTGTACAGCACATGATAGCTTGCTGTGTCTTCTACATAACAAAGGTATTTATCATATTCTTTGCCTCATATCATAAAACTCAGGAATAGCAATGATTTAGAAAGCTACTTTTAATTAACTTTTAAAAATACTTTAAAAACTAGTACCTACAAAGCATTTTAGCTCAAAAGTTGCCTGAGTGGGTCAGTTGGTAAAGCCCGGAGGGTGTCTCTTAGGCCAGGGGAAAGGGTGGAAAAGAGCACAATTTTATGGGACCTCATTCACCTTGGAAGCAAGAAAGAGCCAAGAAATCAGAGTCCAAGAGGTAGGCTTATTTATCTTCATTGCTTGGCTCAGAGGCCCACATTGTGTGTTTCTTCAAAGGCTTCAGTTGTCTCAATCCAGTGAAATTCTTCAAAGAAGGGCCTTATCTGTGTCTGCATATTTTATATGGTTTTCACAGGATTTTTGTGATTTGGTCAGGGATCTGGAAGAATACTGCATTGGTGGGCTGATTTGATCCATCACTTTAAGTTTGCTTCAGTGAGGGTCTTGAAACAGAGAGACTTTTACCTTTACCTTAGCAAAGAAGTCATGATTTGTTTTTCTGACCTCAGGAGCAGAACGTCATATTCTTTCCATCACCCACTGGTTTACCACTGCTGGAGACGCTTCTGTAATCTTGTTTGTGTAGATACTGAGGGAGGATAGTCATTAGCAGGAAGAGAAAAATAATAACTCACTTAAGAGGACTCAGAACTCCAAGGGGCAGGATAAACACCAGATTAATTGTGGTTTTTACTCTCACTATATTGGAAAAGACCAGAGGTAACTTGGAAAAAAAAAAAAAAAAAAAAAAAAAAAAAAAAAAAAAAAAAAAAAAGAAAGAAAATCTTCAAGGTGGTGAAAAGCAATTAAATGGTCAAAAAAAAAACCACAACAACAACAAAAGATCTTTTGTAACTGAACAAAAAAATATTTGATTAAAAAAATTGAACAGATGAAGATTGTGGTTACTGGTATTTCTTGAGTCAAATCCGGAAGCTCAAGAAATACCTGACCGCATAGAATGGAATTATGCAGAGATAAACTCAGAAGGCAGATCCAGAAGTCCTAACATGAAACAAAAGGAGTTCCGGAGGTAGAAAATTAATAAATAGAGAATAGGCTCCCTAAGTCCCAGGCAGGATTAATGTAGGAGCATATGTGTTGACACTTGGTGGGGAGATTCTTGAAGTCCAGATATGAAGAACAATCGTAGTTTTGAGACCCGAAGAACAGGTTATTTGCAATGGAAAGACAATCCGTTAGCTTCAAACTTTTTTATCAGCAGCAGTAGAAGCTAAAATACTGGAGCAACATTTGTAGAATCCTGAGGGGAGAAGACCAAGGTCCAAAACTAATAGCCAGGAAAGATAGCATTCATTTTTATGGGCAAAATAAACATTTTTCAGAAGTGCAGGCATTTAAAAAGTATTCTGCCCATGTACTTATCTGGGGAAAACACTTGAGGAGATACTCCATCAAATGACAAGTGGTTCAGAAGAGAAATCCCAAGAAAGGGAAAGACAAAAAGGGGAGGAAAAAATGGGAGCAATGAACCTTGCAATATATGTATTATTAAAATTAAATAGGTAATAATGATATGATGTGGATTTTGTAATATAAATGCTAAGTAGGGATTCTTGAAATAGAAATGTTATCTTTGAAAGAAAAAACTTATTAGTAACCTAGAACTTAAAGTTTTATTTTGTTTGGGGTCAAGGAGAGGAGAGCAGGTAGAGATTCTTGGTGCATGTTGTGTGTTTTAAAAAAATACATATAGGGGCGCCTGGGTGGCTTGGTCGGTTAAGCGTCCGACTTCGGCTCAGGTCATGATCTCACGGTCCGTGAGTTCGAGCCCCGCGTCGGGCTCTGTGCTGACAGCTCAGAGCCTGGAGCCTGTTTCAGATTCTGTGTCTCCCTCTCTCTCTGACCCTCCCCCGTTCATGCTCTGTCTCTCTCTGTCTCAAAAATAAATAAACGTTAAAAAAAATTAAAAAAAAATAAATACATATAGTATAAAAAATACATATACTATAAAATTATTAGTTTCTCTTAATAGACTTTATATATTTAAAAATGACTCAGGAGGGGCGCCTGGGTGGCTCAGTGGGTTAAGTGTCTGACTCTTGATTTCAGTTCAGATCATAATCTTAT